CCCGACGCATCAAAACCGGACGCCGAGGGAACTCGGAAATGCCTGATGCGTCAATAAATGAGGCGAAGGGGGTACCCGACGCATCAAAATAAGACGCAGATGGAACCTTGGAAAAGCATCAATATGTGATGAGTTGGGAGTGAGAATGTGTTCGATTGAGAGGAAATATTTGGAGTTTAAACCAGTTCTGTAAAAAAAGCTTTTAGCTCTTCTGTTCTGGATGATGATGAATCCGTACCTTAAGGCCAAGGTGTACGTCCCCGGCTGTCTTTGGCTCTCCCTGATGAGGTACGCACCCTCCGTTCCTGCCAGCAAGTCGTCCGCATGTTCTCGAGAGATCATTCCATGAAATCTAAAAAAAGAGGTATAAATGTATTCCTTCACCGTCAAAACGAAAAAAAAAAGTTCACTAAGTGACAGTGACTCATGTGAACTCACTCTCTGCCGTAGTACTTGGGTCTGCTTTCCATCTGTAAACCAGAGGAAGAAAGATTGGCTGTGGCAGGGTAATATGAAAGCTCAAATTAATAGCTTTGCAAATTGTTCTTATAGCCAACGTAAAAGATAAAGGACCTTACACCRCAGGCCAGATAATCTCCATCTGGGCCCCTGCGTCTGTTCGCAGCGAGCAAACCATAAAGCCCAAATTGCAGAGAGGGGGGAGATAAATTAGAGGCAGGGCAGAAAAACAGCAGGTAAAAAAAAAAAAATTTAAAAGGCCAGCTGCTGGAAATTAATAAAAACCTTGTTAGCATGTCAAAGTGGGAAAGTCCAGAATGCAAATCCTCTCAAATATGTGACTGAAAAGTGCTTTATCTTCAATTTTACACTATGTCAAACACTTTCTGATCTTTACAGCGTTGTCAGTGGGGAGCAATCTGAAGGAGGTTAACTGGAAGATTAAGTTTTTTTCATTATCAAGACCTATTTTCAACGACATACAGCTGATAGTGTAGAAGTTCTCATRATGGGCTTGTTAAAATGTAAAACTTCAATTTGTTCTGAATTAACAGCCCGCTGCTAATCTCACATCGCCAGCCTGCAGCTTTCACTCTGCTCACCAAAGTGTGGCAGGACTCAAAATAGGATGAGACATGCATTGGTTCTGCTCGATGTTACAATGGCGGGCTGATGGGTTCCACAGAGAAAGCAGCGACGAGTATAATAACAGATTTAACTGGTTTATTATCGCAGCTGAATGAGTGAAAGTCTGAACTCTCCTTTGCTTTGAAGTGTCCAGTTATTCAATTACTAACTGATCTGGATGTTATATTTCATCTACCACCATGAAAAAAACAGGTAACTGCCTGAGTTCCTTTGTCTGACTGTCAGCAAAATATCTCATAAATAGATTTTAGTGAAACTCTGTCACATTTGTCAAACTCAAGGCCCGTGGGCCAAATATGGCATGAAAATAAGCTTGACACCCCTGCTCTAAGTAATCAATAGATGTATGTCACAACTGATTGACATTTGGGGTTAACCTAATCACACATCTTTGTTTAAAATGCCTGTGACATCAATTTTTTTTAAATAATACAAATGCATTTTTGGAAACATAACACTGAGAACATATTACAAAATAATTTTCATGTAGMTGAGATGAACGGTTTTTGAGATATTTGCGTGTGAAGTAACAGGAAGTGATGTCAAAAGGGAATGTCTGCATGAAAACAGAGCTATGCTAAAATGCTCAACAGCCTTGACTGTGCAGAGGAATCTGATGTTTTAGATTATTTTGAGTCGATATCAGACAGAAACAAAAATAAGAGTCAGAGTTCAAATCAGAATATTTCAATAAATAAAAGACCAGTGAGTTATTTTTCTTAAAGGAGTTCCCCTTTGATGTCACTTCCTGTTTCCCTTTTGCCAAGCCAAGTTCAAAAGAAAATAGGTCAGTTATGTGTCCAAATGGGTAAAATAATGTGTGGTGTGCCAAGTTTCTTAAATAGAACAAAGTTTTCTTTGACTTTTTGTTGAGAGGCATGTCACATGCACTTTAAAATACTGGCATGCAAGGTAGCTAGTGATGCATTCATTCAAATAATGCCACGCTTATTTATACAGAATTTGTTTTTTTTTTTTTCCAAGTATAAATAGCATTTCCAGTGCAGCTTAGGACACCTCTCATAAGAATATCATACATTTTCTTTTGGCATAAACATGTAGTGGTGGTGTAAAATTTATTAAACAGTATTTGCATGATCTGGTTTGCAAATTTCAAAGATTGGAGTAGCTCAGACGTCAATCTGATCAAAGTTAAACTCTGTTTCTCAGCACTTCGTTTTTTAGGAAGGAGTTTAAGTTAAACACAGCAGTAAGCCATTCCCGACAGGATATTACCGATTGATCTGACTTCCAGCTGCTAGACTTAAGTGTTTTACATTTTATTGGGAGTGAGTTCAGGCTTCAAAGTCAGTTTAACAGCAGACAGTGTATCTCCTCTCTGTTGGACCTATTTGTGAAGGATTAATAATAATAATAAAAAACAGAAAGAAATGGGGCCAGCAGGTGTTTCAGTGTTCCTAAGCACATGTTCATAGGCGACACTGAACATTTATCAAAACGTAAAGAATCCCAGATGGGATTGTTACAACACTTAAATAAGTGTAGCAACTCAGGTTTCCAGAATAGTTATAGTTTGCTGTTATAAAACTTTTTGTTGGTTGTCATTTGTGCAATGTTGCCAGAACCGATTCAATAAATTTAATGATCTTGTTACCAGGGGTGTGAATCAGCAGCTTTATCACATATGATATTATATCCAATTGTTTGGATACAATATAATGTTTTTCAATTTCACAAAGTTTCTCATTATAAGATTTTAATTCAGTGCAAATCACAAGTCTGTGATGGATATGATGTGATGGATATATGATATCCATCCACATCGGGCATATGATGATGTTTTGCCTCATTGTAATTGAATCCTTAATCATTTAATCAATATATCAATATTGTGACACCCCTACTTGTAACTAAATATTACCAGCCAACAGATTTATATTATCATCCTTCATGTGTGAAACTGATATTTTAGATAGATACATGTAATGGAATAGAATAGAATAGAAACAGCCTTCATTGTCCTGCGCAGGGAAATTCAGGTGTAATAGCAGCAGCAGATACATACATCAATCCAAACAGCATATTGCTATGTGACATTATCAACTGTAGCAATAATAATATAATTAAATATAGTAACAATAAAAAACATAGATCAAAATAAAAATAAGAATAATAGTTACTGTACCGGACYATCAAGATGAAGTTAGATAAAAATGAAAATAAAAGCAAGATATCTTGCAGAAAAATACAAAATAACAGGAAATCACAGTCATGACAGACTCATGATCTGAGGGGGTGTGCTAACTGAGTCAAACTCAGGGGTGTGCAGATTGAGTCAAACTCAGTCATTAAGTCAGTGTTCCAGTACAAGAAAAACAATGTACAATTGCCACTGGTTATTATTTATGTAATGATTGAGAGGTAGAGTTGTTTGGCGTGCAGACACAAACGTGGATGCTTATCGAGATTGTTGGGAGCAGTGATGGTTGTAGAGTCTAACAGCTGATGGGAGGAATGATCTGCGGTAACGCTCCTTTGTGCATTTAGGATGTAGCAGTCTGTCACTGAATGAGCTCTGCAGCTCAGCCACAGTTCCATGCATTGGGTGGGAGATGTTCTCTGTCATCTGTCATCATAACACGTGATCTTGTTTTCTTTTTTACATGTTTACAAATTATAAATGGAACATGAACCCCTAGCTTCTCACTGCAGCCTTTTTTTCTTAAGCTTCATAGATGTACTGACCTCTTGAGGACATGTGACCCTCTTTGGTCTTGGGGCTTCCTGCTGTAGCTGGTACACTAAAAAAAGGGAAAAAATGTGTCAGTGTGGTTCGCCTGGCTTTCTGAGCTGTAAATAACTCAGGAATGCTCAGTGCAAAGTCTAACTGCATGCATGTAAGAGATACCATCCAAAATAAACATGAGTAATGCAAAGCTGAAGAGATGTAATAAAGCATGTTGTGCAACATTTATAGGCAGGATCCCACTGATGATGAGGTCGTGTCATTCCAACCTGCAGTTTCTGTGAACTGAAGCTGTAGCCTCCATCACTGATAACTGCTGTGCAAAAAGCTGTGTTCCCTTCTTATCTTGCTTCGGCCATCTTGCTGTCAAACTTTGATGTTTGCAGAATGTTCCTTCATAAGGCTTTTTCTTAACAACAAAAACAGGGAAAATACAAGCTGTGCTTTCTGCTTTCTTTGTGTTTTTTTTCCCAGAAGAGTGTTTTATCATTTCTGTAACAGACATAAAGCACCGCTGCCACTTAATAGACTTCAGCTTCCGACGCTGTTCTGAGTGCAGATGTATCAAGGGACAACAAGAGCCATCACTTCATGGATGCAAGTCTAAGAAGTGTGGGAATTAGATGACAGGAGCCATATATCCTAAATCTACTGTATGTGTTTTTCATTTTACCAGCGTGCACTTATACCTACACACATCCATCCACTTTAGAACAAAAGTAGTTTGGCTTACACTATGCTGTGTGAACTCTATGTATCAGACACTGTAAATGAGTGAAGCTATAGAAAAGAAAAATGAGTAGCCAAGCAGAATTTGTGCCATTTATTTGTAGTTAAAAGGAACAATCCAAATCCTGTCTGTGTTTAAATGCAGCCAAATTAATCGACTTCTAGTGGTTTCTTTATGGGGCATTATGTGTAAAATGTTAAAATATATCACTAACACATTTTCATTTTTTAGCTCACTTTCTGAGAGTAAAAGTTTACTAAACTAAATTGTCTGCACTGTGATACTTTACAGTTAATAGTCTGTTGAGATTATTTTGCACTGAAAATAGGCAAATTCGGATTCCTAAGGTCTGATAGTCTACTGTCTCCAAAACAAAACATGTCTTTTTTATTCTTGCACATTTCTTTATATTATATTTTTATTAGTAGTAGTCGTATCATTGCTAGTCAGTGTTAATATAATTTATTGTGTACTGTCTATAGTTTGTAAACTAGTGTGTGAACCTCTGTACTGATGCTGCTATGACACCTGAATTTCCCCTCAGTAGGACAATAAAGGCTATTTCTATTCTATTCTAAATGTTTTATTATTTAGCTCATTGTTCTTACATTTAGCATTTTTTGTTGATAAATTTAAATGCTAAATATGTGTAAAAATTAAATCCTAAATCTAAATGTGTTAATATATATGTAAAAATTAAACTTTAAATATTGAAGTTAAATGTAAAAGTTTACATTTACGTATTTTGGAGTGAAATGCAGCCTTTGCTGTTGGCTCTTGTTAGGACGTCACGTCATCATCCTGATATAATATAAACTGCTAACACTGCCAATGCTGCCAAATCTGCTAATGCTGCTAACTCTGCTAACACTGCTAATGCTGCTAACGCTTCCCTACAAGATCTTTCAGTTGCAGCTTGTGTCTGAGCTGCACTTTAAACTGCTGGACCATGTGTATCATCCATATTGTTTTCAGTGAACACATTTTGTCCGTGTCTCAGTTCAGGGATTGCAGCCAACATAGATGCTGACGGCGCAATGAAATCTGGRATATTGTTGGTCTGATAGGATACTCAAATATAGCTTATATTTTTGGGGGTTTGAATTGGGACAGCCTACGTCACAGAGCAGTGATGTAAGCGGCTGACAAATGTGCCCTATGTCGGCTGCAACCCCTGAATTGCATTAGCGGATGCTACTGTCTCAGGATGATGACATCATAACAAGAGCCAAGCACCAACTGCTGCGGTCCATTGCAAAATATTAAAAAACTTCTACATTTAGTAGAAATTAGCAAAATGTAAGAGAACTAAGCTAAATAATAAATTATTAGCAGAGATGTTTTACCTAGGTTTTTAACCTCAGAAAGTGAGCTAAAATGAAAATGTGTTAGTGAAATACTTTTTATCAATTTATTACATGTGGTGCCCCACACTYCTTTCACTGAATCCATCTTTTAATGTTCTCTGTCCAGAATTAAAGTTTCAATTATATTTCAAAACCTGCCTCATCGTAAAAGACAAATTATTTAATAACCGACGTTGACAGATCAACAGTAAACTCTCTCTTACGTTTTGAAAGGTGTAGTCTTTATGAACTAGCATTACTGCTGTGCTTATGAGCTAAACCCTCAGTGCAGCAGATTCTCCACGCAGGGGGAAAGGAAGACTCCCGACTGTGAACTTTCATGTTTTGTCAAGCTGACTTGAGCCAAGCAGCAAGACCTGGACATCATCCATAGCTGTGACGCTGACACCTCTAAAAATACCTCAGCTGAGGGCTGGGGRAGTCAGATGGGAGACTGAGAACAGGAACAATGGGAAATGAACATTGTAATTGCAAGTAAAGGTTTAAATATATATATAAAAAACTATAACCTGTGAAAATAAATTTARGACAGCAGGCACAGCTTAGAGGATTTCTGCTCAGCTAAGCATCAAACACTCAGGAGTTGCACCGTTTCCTCCCACTTGGTAAAAATGTTGTTAAACAGGGTGGGAGCTCTGTGGAGCTTATTTTAGCTGAGCCTTTTTTTTTTTTTCCGCAGGTGGAACATCTTATTTTCCTGAGCACTGGTAACCTATTTTACCCGGAAAACAGGAACCTGCCGCTTTGCATTTGTGTACGTGGGTGAGTGTGTTTCATTGTGTGTGTTTTGTGTGCCTGCTTGACTCAGCAGCGTATCTAATTTCACCGTGCACAACAAGACCTAATTCTTTAAAGTATAGAAGCTGCTGTGGTAATTTGTTGAGGGGGGCAAGAATAAAYATAAAAAAAGGCCAAAGTCAGGTTAAAATGATGATAAACAGAGCATAAAATGAGTTCTTTACTCACAGTAGGACTTCCATATGGGTGGCTGATAATCATCAGGGTCTGTAAAACATAAATAAAAACAAGCAGGTTCAGTGGTTTTTAAATCTTTCTTCCATTAAGAATTCTAGCTGGCTCTGCTCCCCAGTGGGTAAAATATGAGCCCCTCGTTGTGGTTCTGTCTGTCCAGTTTATCTCTCCGTTATAATTATTATGCATATGGCTTCACGCCATGCAGCTGCCTCTTGGGACGCACCACTGAAGCCACCTCTAATTATTGTTACAAAGTCAATCAATATTCAACACGTGCTCGCTGAGCGTCGTGTCGACCGCACCTGCCCTGGATCCTGTAAACACAAAATGTAGACATAAAACACAAACACGGCAATCAAGCTTAGGAGAAGTAAACACAGACGGGTTCTCCTCTGGGAAATCTGCTGGCTGTAKTTGTGATGATGTGAACACTTAACACTGGATTACAGGAGGGAGAGAGAGCGTTTGCTTTAGATTAATGGAGTAAATGCCCCAGAGAAAGTCACACTTTGGTGCCATATTTATTGACTTATAATGCACTGACGATATTTATGCCTCAAAGGAAGCTGTCTGAAAGTCACTTCTGTGACACACTGTTACACAGAATATAGAGCTACAATGCAAATTTATCAACACAAGGTCTGATTTATTTCCTGTTTATCGCCTGCTGGCAAAGGCAGAAGGGAGATTGTGTTAGTTGTCGGACACAAAGTGGCTTTAACTCAGCCAAAGTGGCTTTAACTCAGCCWGTTTTAGAGATATTGAGCACAAATTTGGTGTGATCATAGCTGAGGATCATCTTCTACGCCAGGGATGGGCAACTGGAAGTGACCCTCCGACCGGCCAATGAGTGACGCCTGCCTGCTCCAACACCCCCCCCACCCTTTTTTTTTTAGGTGAAGTATCTGTTAACAAAACTTCAAGGCAAACCTGTGTGTTTAGTCTGCTTAGAGACGTTGTCTGCCATGAAGGATTTAATATAAGTCCCCACTACAACACGTTGCACAAAGCTGAATAGGTGTAACGGAAGCAGTGAGGAGAAGATTATTGGAAATGCAGTAATATGTGTTTCTCAGAATATATTCCAGACTCCACATTCTTCACACTCCAACCTTTAGAATACATTAAATCTATAGACAGAGCAGCAGATACAGGATTTTCTTTGTTTGTTCTTCAGAAGATCATGCTGCCCACTGCTAAAACCTCACATAATTAATCTGTTTATTCCACATTTGTTTTACACCAGTTAATATACACTGCAACACATTAACTACCCTTTTAGGGATTATTAAAATCTGATTCGATTTCATGGTGTAAGTAAGTAAATAGAAGCAGAAGTTGTTGTTGTTGTCACACCTAAAATCTGCTTAGAAATTCCAATTAATGACGGTTATTAATCCAAACAGAACAGCTCTGAGCCTCGGGAGAGAAAAAAACAAACAAACACATGCATATGAAATAAGAATCATCCGTCACACGAACATAAGTAATCTAAAAAATTCAAGATGTTGTATGATACCACAGATCCTTTCTGTAAGAACAACAGCAGTTTAGGGAGTGAAAATGCACACAGAACAAAGAAATGTGGGAATCTGTCTGAGTAAATGCCACATCTGGCAGACAAACACAGAGCTACTGGAATCCCTCTGGTGTGGTGTGGAGCTGTAAGGAGAGCTAAAAAATATATCAACAAAACAAGGATGAGACAGTATAGCAAAATCTGGAGGAAGTCTGTGTTTGAAAATAAAAATAAAGATTGCTGCGTTTTTGTAATAAGATTTGATTTATGCTCATTCCACCTGAAGGTTGGACAGCTTTCAAACCAGAAACCAGAATTGCTGATGATTTGTATAATTTTTTAAAGGCTACAGCCAGCTAAACTGTTAATATAACAAACAATGACAACATCTAACACTATCATTAAGGGCAGAGCTGCCCAAAGTGTGGCCCGTGGGCTTTTGGGGACCTCGAAGTATCTTTGTGTGGCCTAAGAATAGAATGATTTTGGCCCACGGGTTTAAGAGGCTGATGCAGATGGAAACCTATTGGAAATTTTAATAGTAATATTCTTTATACACACACACACA